AGATGCTGGTGAGAATTGGGTATGCCTCTACACAAGTCAATTATTGTGTAACCCATTTGAATCGTTGCGAAAATATTACGAGCAAGAATATCACTATCAAGAGCAAGATTGACACGGTTATTCATATCACATTCAAGACTGACAATATACGCCTGACTAAGCCTGAGAATGAACTCTCACGTTGCCCGTCAAGAACAATTCGTTCCACTCGTTCACTAGTAGTAGTCCTGTCAGGTATTCCTCATGTCGTTATCAGTACCACTGGGGTCGTGTTTGAAACCATCTATTGCTATATTCACCTCCGGGTTGCTGTTGGCAACTGCACATGCACTCGCGGCTGCAACGCTTGCTGCAGACTATCCATTCCCGTGAGATGAAGTCCCTCCAGTCACCCGCTCTGGCTCTCCTGCCCTTTTTCGCGTTGACTCGTTACACAGTTGATTTTTTTGTCTTCGTTTAGATATTTCTTGGTAGCATACAGCGTTGTGGGAGGCGCTGGTATAGGGTTGGGATACACAGCGCCAATGGATGTGTTATTCAAAATGGCTCCCAATGAAAAACGAGGTGGGAGTTCATCCATGATCAGCTATGGTGTCATTGATGCAGGGCTCTACTCGGGGATAACGGCCGCAAGTTTCGGCTTGGGTAGCTTCGTGTTCACACAGCTACAGTCGCGTGTGGTGAATCCGTATGCGGTCGACTTCACCATGGAAGACCCTAATTATGCAGTATTGATTCGTGTGCCGTAAGGGAAACGCTATTGGCGTTTTTGCAATAGTTATGCTCAGGTTTATGCTGCGAGTAGTGGGCGGAGTCTTGATGATTGTGTTGTCGATAGCGGCTGCGATCATTCCTGATGAGGTCACAGTTAGTCCGACTGCTCAGAAGGTTCAGTTTGACGAAGATCAGCCGATAGAAAATGGGATCGCTTGGAGGGAAATGGTGAGTCTTGCAAAGGAGGCCCTTGGTTCGATCCTCGGTAGGGTCACTTTGCCGTATTCAGATACGAACACCTCACTTCTGGCTGTTAGTCATAGCGTTTTCTGCCAACACTCAAGCAATAACTTTCGTGGCGTCCACTTTCAAGGTGAGGCGAGGAATGCTCAGTGGACTGTCATCTCATCGTTATAGATGATGGGAACGAGCCTGTGTGGTATGACTGACGCCCAGCTGGTGAAGACCTGGTCAGTAGCAGCAGTGGTGAATGCTGTTGGGAGAGTCACAACGGGTGATTCCTCGTGTCACCACGAACGACGATTACTGTGTTGGTCAGGCATTCTCACTGTGGATCCGTTGTATTCTCTCCGAGTAGTGTCTCAAGGACTAGCGGCTTCGTTATTGTTCCTATCTTGGGCAAGTACTCCCTCAACATTCTTATTCGGAATGTGCTGGAATGCCCTTGTGCTTGGGAGTGAGTCGAAAAGGCTCTTTATGGTGGTATTGATTTTTTCAGGCACTTTCGTTGTCATGCCGTTAGCCACAGCTAGTTTGTTCGGTCGTGCTAACTTCCAGAAGAACTACGGAGTCGTGTTCATGAGTTTCGGACTCTCTGCATTAGTCGCAGCATGGGTGAGTCTGTGACCATCGTCTCGATCTCGTCAGCTCGGCAGGCGCTCTCTTTAGATCACAGTACCTTATTTGACTTCGACGCTATCGCCTGCTCTACAGTTGGCCGTCATCGCGCTGATCCCGGCTGTTACAGCGGTCATAGCATGGCTACTATCCAAGCTGCCGGCTCCCTCGAAGAGAACAGATGATTGGGTGCGCTTTTATACCGAGACTAATCGGCCACTGATCGAGTAGCTGATCAAAATTGAGAACTCCAAACGTTTCTAATAAGCCTGTCCGATCCTTGTTCGTAAATCCATAGGACTCGCATTGGCCCGCAACTTGACCTTTTTGATGTCTGTGTCTCTCTATCCCACATGGGAGGGATATCTACTGGCTTCTGCTTTTTTGTGAGAGGTTCTCTAGTCTGTCTGTGAACCGACCTGCGCCCCGCGAGAAAATTTCCCAGGCTTGGGTGTGTCGAAAAATAGGAGCTCTTCTTCCGAGTTCGGATTTGTGTTCGAATGAACCGATTTTCTGAATTTGCCTTGGACAGTCGGACTGTCACAGTCCTATGTTACTCAAGTTTCGGAGTTTGAAATTTTTTGGACGTTTTACGGAGATTATCGATACCGCATCAGTAAATCAAACTGAGTCTATCGATCCATAATATCGAATCTTGATTGTTTGACCAGCCGTTCGATCGCAATTTCACTGTGGCATGTGACCGTGGTTACGCAGATGCGCGCCTGTGTCTTCACCTTGAACAGGAGTGCGGGATTTTTATCCGAAGCCCGTCTTCTGA